GATCGCAGTGTACCGGATCGGGGTATGTGATCCACACCAATTACGTGATCCACACCAATTAGGTGATCTATGCCAATTATATGTCCACACCAATGACGTATCCAGTGAATCGCGGGGTGGCGGATCGCGGTATGTGATCCACGCCGGGTACGTAATCCACCTCGATAAGCAGGACACACTCCGGATAGATTGTGGTCGATCGTTCGTATCTCCGATCGGGCATCCAAAGCCGGATCACCGTCACGTTCGAAACTTCGCACACTGCATTATCTTAAAGATCCACTCTCCCAGCTTGCTTCCATCTTCACCTACATCCCATTGTCTCTATCGATCCAGTACTCCACTTGAGTTTTACCCCTTGAATGGTCCAGTTCTTGTACCTTGGTGATCCAAAACTTCGATCGAAGATCGCGATCGGTCAATCGTCGATCCTTGACTATACTCCTTGACCGTTAGGTGGGTCACTCTGAATAATTTCCACAGTCATTTCCTGTCACTCAGTCGTGTGACACCATCATCCGTGCTAACGGGCCCATCTCCGTACGCGCTCCACCAATCAAATTGATTTTCGCACTTAAGGCGGATCGCGCGATCCACACTTCCGTCATTCTTCCTTCGCGCTTTTCCACACAACCAACAATTTCACACTTCCCGTTCGCGAAATTGTTTACAAACACCCTTCTTTTCGCAATTTGGTGGATTATGGTGAGTTACGATAATCGTGTCGGTGCCAATTTCCGCGTTACTTTTACCCGAAATCTTTCGTTACACGTATCAGCGTGTCGTTGAATGACCCCCCTTAGAGATTACACTTATCAAACTGGCAGCGCGTCCTCCTGCCGCTTTTTTCTCCGACGACTCTTCGCCCCTCAACAACTTGTACCTTTTTGGCAAGCCAGGCCTATCTTGTAGCGGTCCAGCCAAGCTTATCGATCCGTCGCGAAGGTGCTCTCATCCTCGAATTTCTAATTTTAGTCGCGGCGAAAGCGTATATATCGACGCAACGCAGTGTTGCGGACATCGCAGTCTTCCATTTTTAGATTGCTAAACAAAATGTCTTCATTGTAGTGCATCTGACGTAAATTATTTCCATTTTTTTCATCCTCGACCAGCTCAATACCACAAACATAATCGCACTTCCCACTGTCCGTCATCTCCTATTTTTGTAATCGCTTGTTCTTGAGTTACCTCATCAAGATGAACGAGCTTCCAGTGACTTCTGTGTCGTCTCGCATATTAGAAGCAATAGCAGTGCTCAACGATGCGCATGATTTGCATACACAGATAGGGCTCGGACACATGGTACTTTATTGATCAATATTGACACATTTCTCGTTCTTCTCTTAAGATGCTTTTCTGCGCCCTCCCTACCCCGAAAAGTTACAAGCAGTCTGTCTTTCGACATCAACTTACGATCGCAAAACTGAAAGCCAAAGCAACCAAAGCCATCAAGTTGCACAATGAGTCTCCCGGTGCACTCATGCGCTTAATCTGTGCGAATCGACTTGAATGTGCTTAGCTGTCGATACGGTCACTTACTTCTTTATCATAGGAGACTCGAAGATGAACGCTGTACTGCCGAAAAGTAGGACTTCGGTGTTTATTGCAGGCAATACGATTTAATTCGCGTGCCGATCTCGATATCAAGCCGTTTTTGGAACGCGCAGTGAGGCCGGTGACATAGCGAATCGAAATTGAACATTATCGTACTTTAATCTTGCTAAGGGTCCAGCATTGGTCACTAAATAAGATGTAAAACCCTGCTGGCATGGATTGCGAGTTGTAAGGGCGAAGTCATGTGTACACGTGCGTAAGTTGACATCAGGGCTTGACGGCAGCTGCTTTCCACGTGTGTATGTAACGAAGTATTTACGCACACGTCTTGTTAGTTGCGATGGAAGGATTGCATTGCGTAGGTAGATATGCATACGAGGTGCAGCTAGCTGCGACTGCCCAAAATTCTACGTCCGATACGCACACACACGTGGTTGGCGAATAAGCGAAGAAGGACGAAAGTGTACAATGAGCTTTTGCTCGACGATTTGGAGCTGCAGCAAAGATCTTGCACCTATGGCACCACGAGACCAGAAGTGTTACTGTATTACTAAGAGTAGCAGCATCACCGCCTTCGAATTCTTGCCGTCTCTTTTATTTTATGTTTTTTCTGCAGATGTAAGAGGTAGATTCGCATAAACATCGTTTCTTATCGACAAGCATGCCTTCCTCAGGAAAAAAATGATGTGTTGTGGCCGAAGTCAGCACGTGTATTTCTGGAAACGCAATGAATGGAGTCGTAGGAGATATCATTCGTGTAGATATTGAGAGACAAAACGTGTCGGTATAATGTCTGGGGATACATTACAGCGAAAGACAAGACGTGACGATATAACAAATGGGGATTGAGGATGTCTGATAAATCTTGAACCCGTACCCGAGCAAGTCTGGTGGTTGCACGACGACATTGAACATAATGGGGTAGCATTTCTACAATCCATTGATGTACATATCATCTTTCTGCTTCTACCTACCAAAATTGAAAAGTGAGTCATGTGCCACTCGCTCGTTCAGCGGCGGACGGAGCATCCAATGCTTTGCCCTCTCATCAATAACATTCACGATTCGATTCCACTTTGATTCCACTTCGTTGTTGTTGGTGTTTTTGGCTTTGTTATTTTCTTCATCGATTCGTAGTTGTTGCTGTTCTTGTCGTTGTTGCTATTGTTGTTGTTGTTGTTGTTGTTGTTGTTGTTGTTGTTGTTGTTGTTGTTGTTGTTGTTGTTGTTGCACATACTGATATAATTTTCTCTCTTTCTTCTCTTTTACTCTTCTGTTGAATATATAAACAGCGCCAACAAATATGCTGTAGCACACGATAACCACGACAGCATTGTAGTTATCACACCTTAAGCGCACGAATTGTCCCCTGCTCGCCACTTTGGGTAAGTGATTGTATTCATATGTAGCTTCGCTTCGTAGACAGCAGTGCGTGAGGGCGAGTTCCAGAGCTTGCTCCCTATCTCAGTACCATGCACCTGACTTGTGAAGGCAATCAGTCACGGCCACGACCTCGTCAGGCATAGTCGAGCGAAGTACATCGATATGTGATACACTGTGCTTGCATTGAAGTGAAGTTCGATGAGGTCATGGCTGAGTACTGCACTGCTTCGATGATGTTGGCTGCTGTGATGCATATTGGACTACCTGGTTTGGTCACGAAATACTAACTTGCGGCTTTCGTTGCTGCCAACATTGAAGGGAGATGGTATTTTTGGTTACAGGTATTCGCAACACGTGCAATGCACACCATGGGCTACAGCTCCTTGTGCTGTTTTCAGAAGGTTTTGGGGCCTAAGATATATGAAAGAGTAGGAAGCAAGTATACACATTCATAGATTGCAGTGGAAGTTATAGGTTTAGTGAGATCCAGCGGATCGTACGGTCTTCGAACCCCTTTCTCAACTACCTTCTCATTTGGCATTGCTGACCTACTCACGTATTTGCTTACACCATTCTGCAAAGTGGTTTCAGCAGTTTAAGGCTAGCACAGCCGACTTCCGCATGTCGTCCTTATGTCTGTGAAGCTTATGTTCGCTCCTCTGCGCGTAGTCAAGTAACAAGTTCAAACGGCGTCGCCACAGCAAACCCATTCCGATATTCTCCAACCTCGTCTGCCGGCACCAGGCTCTTGACTTTCGTAGCTGACTGTGTCGCGCCGATATACCAACGCATGCGCTTGGCAGCGACGGCTATACGTCAGCGATTTTGCAGTAGCGAAGAAAGTGCTTGATGTCAAGGTAAAATCTACATTGAGACGGCCTGGTCGTCCGGGCGTAATCGTCTCGGTTGTCGTTCGTTATCGCCGTTTTATCAACTTGCACTTCTCGAGAAATTACGGCGAGCACTCCATGCTAACGAAGATGCTCTGCGGAAATCAGGGTAGAGCGGCATCGCACCCTTGTGGGCAAAGAAGTTGACATGTTTACTAGACGTTGATGTTGAAGCGCTGAACACGAAGCACATTCCAACGGTGATGCTTCGGAACGTCCCAAAATTCCACTGAATACAGCATCAAGGCGCCCATTAAGCCGAAGCTTTCCAGCGTCCTTGGTCATGTATAAGACGGTCGTACGCACTCGTAGTAGGAAGATCTGCGTTTGCTGGAGGCGCTGGCGACATGGGAGCAAATTTCACGCCACCACTATATGTCTCCGCACTCCTACCCGTTGCATTGCCTTCTTCGTAACCTCCAAGTGGCTACCTCGCAGTCGGTCCTTTTGACTTCCTCGTGCTCATGTACAGGGCCATTGCTTGCCGGCGCGCCGTTTTATGCCGTTTCTGTACAGCGAAGTGAGTAGTCCCTCTTGCTTTGTTGTCGTATGGAAGGAAGACTTCCGAGGTGACCAAACCGATCAGAGTCGCTTGTGTGGTTAAACAGAAAGCCAAATCATCTCTTCGAGCTCTTTGAGCTTGATTTTGACGACTCGAGCTCATCAAAATCACTGGACTGCGCCGTGCACGCAAAGGAAGACGCCATTGCTTTCCCCCAGGAACGATGTCTATACAAAAGCTCTGCAGCAGAGACCGCAACTGTCGTTTCCTAGCTATTGTTGCAATGCACAGCACAAAGCTGTAAGTTCAGATTTCCTGCATCGTTGCTCGTGCAGAAGCAGGCGTTGACTGGCATCGAATGTAACTTCGTGAGCACTACGCGGTCAATGCCAATCGCAACTGCTTCGCAAGTACTTCTGCCATTTCGAAACAAAAACAAACAAAACACAGCTGGCGAGCAACACTGCTGCTTACCAGTTGAAAACAGTAGTCGGGACCGAGCAACTGTTGTCGCTGTGCCTACAGAAAACGAAAAAGACCAGATGAACAATCAATTTGTCAACAGCCGTATTTGATTCAACAGCTTCGGTTCAAAATGAGGAAGCAAAAGCACTGCGTAGGCTTTCAGAGCGACTGGCAGTACAGCCAGACAGTCATTCTACCACAGATGCTTAGATGGCGGCAGGGTCAATGGCGCCCCATTGCTGGTTCGCGTTGTTGGTCGAGCAGCCGTACAGCTGCACCTTGTTGCCCTGCGCAGGGTCCGTGTCGAGGCAAAAGCCCTGGTGCTTCATGTGCCTCAGCGTCCCAGTCGCGCTGTCAAACATCCACTTCTGGTTGGCCTCCTGATCCATGCAGCGGAACACGTGCACGATGCCACCGTCCCACCCCTGGTAAGCATCCAGGCACCGATCACTGCTCTTCGAGCGCACCTGCTGCGTGGCAGCGTCGAAGAACCACACTTGCTGCTCTTGCACCAGCCAATCATTCGACTTACCCGACATGTACAGGTTGCCGCCCTTCTCCGACAGCAGCAGTCTCGTACCGGCATTGCGAATAGCACGGGGGGTTCTCACTCCAACGGTCAGCTGCTGGAAGTTGCTCTTCATCGTGTCATCCTCGTTGAACACCCCAAAGTCGGCCTCCACCTCGTGGTCACCGTTCGTCACGCGCCACTTGGAGTCGAACGCAACGTACCAGTAGTACTCGAAGTTGTGCGCGGTGGCCATCAGGTGATAGTCGGCAAAGAACTTGACCTGGTTTTCGGGGGACGCGATGCCGGCCGACAAGTGGAAGCCACCCGAGCTCCAGCCCACCTCGGAGACGACAAGTCTCTTGTTCTTGCTGGCTGACAAGACGCGCAAGTTCCTCAGTCGGTCCAGAGATATAGCTGCTCCTTCGTTCGCGTTCGCCTGCTCCCAGAAGGCAAACTGGTTCACCGACACGTAATCCACAGCGTCCACGAGCTTTGGGTTGAGGTTGTAGATGTCGATGGTGTCCGCAATCGTGACGGGTGTGTTCTTCCCGCGACTTCGAATGTAAGCACGAATCTCGTTCATGTAGCTGATAGCTGTGTCAGCATTGATCTCCTTGCGGTAGATGGTCTCACTGCCGACGTGCAGCCCAATGACGTTGTTGTCATACAGGCCCGTGTCAATGAGCGCAGTTAGCTTCGCCTTCTCTTGCAAAAGGTAGTTATGGCTCGCTGTCGTCCAGATCCCAAGGTGCACTTGCAAACCAGCTCTCTTGGCAGCCGGCAGCACTAGTTCGGCCTGGTTGCAGTCCGTGAGCGAGTAGATACGGACCTTGTCCGTGACAGCCTTCAGAGCGTACATGTCCCGCTGAATTTCAGCCGCGTTTTTGCACTTGGAGCTTTCGGGGGCCCAGTCCGGGCCCTTGCGCGGAGTGTAGTTCATCCCGGGCATCTTGACGTTGAGACCGTCAGCTTTGTGGCCCGAGAGCACGAGCAGGACCGAGGCCACGGTGATCGGTAGGTAGAGCTTCATCGAGAATGTGCTCGAGCGTCGGCAGAGAGAATCGTGGAGCAAGTGGAGCTCAGCTGGAGAATTGCAAAGTGGGAAAGCTGTGAACAGGACCCCATCGATTGACGATGCGCAGCCACTGGATTCTCGAACGAACGATTACACGAACGAACGATTACACGAGCGAACGATTGAACGATGGGCATCACACGCATGTGTGTGAGCAACTGGCCATCTGATCCCATGAGCTAATCTGGCTCTAGGTTTCGTCTCGATACAAGTGCGGCATTCGAGGTCCCGTCTAAACGATTGCAGTTTGCGACACTGGACGTAATGGCACAACCTGATGATGCAGTGAAGTTGGATGCATGCAAATCTACATGGCGCGACAAGCCCACCCCAAGGTTCTTCCATCTCCGGACCTATGCGTCACGAGGGAACTCACCCGGCTACACGACAACAGTATTCGTTAGCGATAGACGATGCGGTCGACGGTTCAGTCACCCTAAGTGTGCTGCAAAGTGGCGAGTTGCACTTGGAACGCCTACACGCACGCCCTCGCCCCGAGCTCATGAAGGCGAAGTTGTAATGAGTGTGGGCCTCAAAACGATATGACAAGCACTGTGTAGATCGAAGCACTATGGCTCTCGATTTCTATCTACCCGTCATGCCTTCGAAGTTGCTGTCGTCGGCTCCCCTGTAGACGCTCTTCTGCGTAGACTCGACCCAAAACATGGACTTGGACAGGCTCATCATCACCGCAACGACAACAGCTGTCGTCCCAACGCCAGTGTCGTTGTCGTATCGTGTTGACCGTCGCGTTGGCGTTGGCGAGTGGACGTTGCGAGATTTGTGTGCCACTTGGGTGGTGCGTCCCGAAAAGCATGTACCATTTCAGTGTAGGGCCAGCCGTTCGACCTCACTAAGTATCCGATAAGTATCCGTCGATAGATACTATCGCTCATGTCGTCGTCCCTGGACGACACCGCGGAGGAGTCGCTGACGCTCAGCAGTCGAGTGCGTGCGCCTGGAGATCGCTCCGACGCGTCAAGCACGCATGAGGAAAGCGACAACAACACGGACGAAGACAACCCCTTTTCACAGTACTACGGGATGCTGCTCCACCAGCAGAATATGCTGCAGGACCACGTGCGCACGGGCACTTACGAGCGAGCGATGCTCTCGAACCCGTCCGATTTCCGCGACAAAGTGGTACTCGACGTCGGTACGGGATCCGGTATCTTGGCGTTCTTTGCCATCAAGGCCGGTGCCCGTAAAGTATACGCCGTGGAGCTGAGCAACATGGCCGACTGCGCGCGTGAACTTGTGGCTGCCAACGGTCTGAGCGATCGCATTATAGTCCTCAAAGGCAAGATGGAGGAAGTCGAGTTGCCGGAAAAAGTAGACGTGGTTGTGTCCGAACCCATGGGCTTCTTCCTCGTGCACGAACGTATGCTGGAGACGTTCGTAGCTGCTGGAAAAACGTGGCGGCGACATGCACCAGGTTTCAAAATGTTCCCGTCCATTGGCACCATGTTCATGTCGCCGTTCTCGGACGAGAGCATCTACCGAGAGCAGATGTCCAAAGTGGCGTTCTGGCAACAGCAGGACTTTTACGGCGTGGACCTGTCGACTCTTCGTGCTCGAGCAATGGACAACCATTTCTCGCAACCGGTGGTCGGGTACTTTCCACCTGACATCCTACTGAGCTCGAAGACCGCCAAACATGTGCTGGATTTTGCAAAAGTGACTCAAGAGGAGCTTCACACGTTCGACTTCCCGTTTCACTTCGTTATCGAGCGCACAGCCATCGTGCACGGTCTCGGCTGCTGGTTCACTGTCGATTTTGCGGGATCGGATGCACGCGTTGTACTCAGCACCGCGCCACATGACGCAGGTACACATTGGTACCAGTGCCGGCTGCTACTACCAACACCTATTGCTGTAAACACTTCGCAAAGCATCTCGGGCAATCTCCACTTCGTGGCGAACAAAAAGTTTAGTTACGACATGGACCTCGAAGGTGCGGGTTCGATTGACCCGTGTTCTCTGCTACCGCTTGTCTTGCAATGGGCCTGACTGACGCGTTCTCTTCGTCTTTGTGTGCAGTTCATCTCGACGGGACGTCGATTGTGTCGAAAAACCACATTCACTTGCACGAACAGATGTACCATTACCTGTACTCGCCCGGGGCTGCCTCCGCTGGAGCAAATGCTGCTAGCGGCGCGCGACAGCACAGCGCCTCATACTGAGCTAGCGTGTAATGTTGTCGATCCGAGTCACGAGACGAAAGTCGCAGGGGTGCAGCAGGAGACGATCACAACGGAGTGCGTGGCACGATCGACTGACTGGAAGTGCGCGTGAGGGCATCAATATGAGCAGCATATCGCTACGGCGTATGGAAAACTGAGTCGATACACGAGACAACCTCACCCCGACGAGCGTTGCCTCAAACATTTATAATGTAATCGATTGCCTTCCTCACACAAGGGTCAAAAGCAGCACGCGACGTAGCTAGTGGAGCCACATCGTGATTCTTCGGCGAATCGTCGTTGGTCGAGTGCGGCAGTGTTATCTCCATGTCAGGCACACTCGTCGTGGGTGGAATACCCACGCCTTCGTACAGCACGTCATCAGCACCGAATACACGCTGATGCGGAATCTCAACAGTCCAGTAGTTTGGCAAACGCAACTGGCGCGTAGGCGACAGGCTACCGGCAGTAGCGGCACCGACGCGGCAAGTGCGCGGTCGTTGCATCAGAGACAGACACAAGAGCTCTGCCGTACTACACAACATCATGGACAACCGTTCACATGGTCAGATCGATCTGTCACGAAGCAAGTGTCCTCATCATTGCCACTTACCCGCGAGTGTATTGGCTCTGCAGCACGGCAAGTGGACCACGGTAGCGGAGGCAACGCGTCGTGTACGGAATGTAGTACTTCTTTCTCTTCGAGAACTTAAGCGTGGCACCTGGCAGTTTCTCGTCCGTAGAAAAGGCCAGTGCTGCTTTGGTCTCGCTAGCAAAGAATGACGCCACAGTCAGCGCCGCGACGTGCGAACCTCCACCTTGATTGAAACGCAAATCCAACATCAGTCCGTCTACGTCGCCAAGGCCCAGCAAGATCGCTTCTAGCGACCAGCGCATGGACTCCAAGTCATAAATCTCAGGTACAGTTATGGAAGAGCCTGCCATAGCTCCGCCTCGGCCCATTCCCCCTAACTTCTCGACTCCACCAGGTGGCACCTGCGTCGAACCTGCACCACCATGATTGCCTGTCGACACTTCTTTTGCCCACGACGGCATCAGCACGTCGACTCTCGGCAGTGAAAACTCGACAAAGCCTTGCATGGCAGTCAGGCAAATGTACCCAATCCTCCACCCTGGGCACGTCTCGGCGTTCAAAATACCACACACAAAGCGGTCGTTTGCCAGTGTGCGTCCACCTTGTGTCAAGTGTCGGCTCTTCATAGCCGACAATGTCTGCTGCTGGTATCGCAGCGCTGCTGCAGTGGGCAGCGGTCGTCCTCGTGCTGTCACGGTCCTCGATCCTAAAGACCCTGATGCAGGCGCAGCGACACGCGAGACAGCAAGCGACGGGTCATCACATAGGGACACGCTTTCCTGCAGGGCAATCCACAGGTCTTCGTCGCTCGTGGACGGCTGCATGGTGTCACCAAAGAGCTGCTGCACGAGCTGCCAATCGACGCGTCTGGGCTGCAGAAACGCATAGAAATCCTGCATGGCGAGCCAGAAATTGCGAAACGTCATCACGGGATTGCTCGTGTACGCCACACGCGCAAGAACAGCGCGCAGCAGCTCGAGGAACAGCCGCAAGAGAATGCCGTGCAGCGTCAAGAGCACCACGAGCGCACCACCCACCACTGGCACGTGGCGACGGAGGAAGCTCACGGGCAAGATGGCTACATGCTCGTACAACTCCAGTGGCCGCAAGATGAGCACCTGCAAGAGCGCGTCGGGCGACCACAGCCAGTCCAAGCGCAGGGTCAGGAGCGTCCATGGCTTGAGCATCTTGACCAGCATCGTCCTGAGCAATTCCAGGCGAAAACTTGTCAAAAGTGGTGTGGTCACACAATGAGCCCAGCGACTGAAATACAGCAGTGCCACAGCGCGACTTTTGCGTTGTGTCAACTGTAAAACACGTGCGCAAATACGGTCTCGTCACGTCCGCTGTGCTTTCCGAGAAAGTCGATGGAATGACTTGTGTTAGTTACGACGGACCCGATCGACTTTATGACGGAACACTGCTTACAAGCTACTGTATCGATACTGCTCGCGCCGTAGAATGTGACCGAGCTCTTTTTCAATGAACTCGCGTACGAGTGGGGAAAACACATCGCGCTGCATCTGTTGGCTGAACATCGCATCGTGGCCAAATTTAGAGTCCACTTCTACCAGTTGCGCCTCGCGGCCGTACGACTGCAGAATGTGCACAAGGTTTCGCTGCTCTTGGATCGGGACCAGCAAGTCTTGCTTAATGCCAACGATAAGAGTGTCAGCCGCGATGCGGCTCGTGCCCTCGGCCAGGCTTAATGAGTTGCGACCCAAGTTGGTCAGATCCATGGCTTTCGATAGCAGCAAGTAGCAATTTGGGTCGAACACGCGAGCAAATTTGCTCGCCTGGTAGTCCATGTAGCGCTCGACCTCGAACGTTGCCGTCTTAAAGTGCATGGGACCAACTGGGTTCCAGTCAAAGCGACTGTCAAATTCCTCACGCGATCGGTAGCACGTCATGGCCAGTTCACGCGCGACCTTCATACCTTGGAGAGGCTCGCCGGGTGCATAGTTGCCGTCCTCGTAGTCTGCGTCCGCGAGAATGGCACGTCGCTGCACGCGTCGAAAGGCGACTGTCCCAGGGGTAGTCTGGTGCGTGCACGATATCCCCACTAGTCTGCTCAAGCGGTCTGGAAACTGCGCTGCAAACTCAAGAGCTTGAATACCTCCCATACTGGCGCCAATCACAGCGTGCACATGGTCGATGCCTATATCGTCCAGGATTCGGCCGTGACAGCGGGCCATGTCGGCCGGCGTGAGTTGGGGGAACGAAGCCTTGTACTTGTCGCCTGTGAGTGGGTTGACTGACAGCGGGCACGTCGCGCCGAACGGGCTGCCGAGCACGGACGGGCAGATCACACGGAAGTAAGAGCTGTTGATGGCTTTGCCAGGCCCAATCATGTTTTCCCACCACCCTGGTCGGGGATCGTCACGGTTGGAGGCAGCGTGGCTCGAGTGCGAGAAGGACGGGAGCACGAGGATCGTGCGATTGCCAGGAAGCGAGCAGTCACCCCATTGCTCCCACTCGATGGCCACTTCTGGCAACGAGCCGCCCAGCTCGAGTGGGAACTCCTGGTTGAGTATCGACTGGTACTTGTTGCGCGGGAACGTGGACCCCGTTGCGTACGAATGCTGCTGCTGGCCGGCGCTGGTGCACGACCGGTGAGAGGTTATCGAGGCCTGGTACACAGGGGGTAGTAGTGTGCGAGTCATCCGTTGGCTGATGATGCGTCTGCCATTAGGACCGTATGTAGGTGGAAGAATGTGTCTGGATAGCATGTTTCTTGCTGATAATTTCTCGTGTTTTTCGTGACCGAAAAGATTGAGTGAAAGGGCGAAAGATTGAGTGAAAGGGCGAAAGCAGCTACACGGTGTGCTGAATCGAGAATCGATTTGCTAAAACTGATGCGTGTAGGGTGCAGTATGGAGCGTTGTTTTGGCTGAAAAAGTCAGCACAGCAATCAATCACAGAAGCCCGTACGAGCATAGCGTAGCGTGTCCTGTGACGGTCGCAGTACAACGATAAAGCGAATGTTTAGGAGACTTCATCGATCGACATCCGGCAATAAATGGAGGTGCCTGGTCCACGAAAAAGTAGCGTGCACTTTTCTAGAATCATGCGCGGGAGTAGAGCAGGTGCTAGGCACATCTTGGCAAACGGTCAAGACTGGACGAGCACAATGAGAAAAGTGCTACAGAACATTGACGGTGCTGAACAAATGCTTGTGCGTAAAGGTCTTTCGAGCATTCGTTGTACCTATCGTTGGCCCTTGGACCTCTTTTCGACCTTTCGTTTGGCCGAGGTGTACTCCCCACGTGCTTCGATACACACTGATAGATCAAACGAGATCCGCCGGTCTTTCTCACGCAATTCATCAAAGCAGCCACCAACTTGCGAGCTACTCTGCGCCTGATGCTACTTATACACCTCTCCACCCGCAAGCCATGCGTGGCACTCACTCACTAGACGCATTTCTGAGGACACGACGTCCTGGTAAAGATAGAGGACCAATTGTTATGGGTTCCAATCCGTCGTTACCTTTTTCTCGATTGCGGAGAATTGGGGCCTGCTATCGAGCGGAACAGACTCTGGAGTGATGACCAGTACACTTCTTTGACGCAAGTACGCAAACACACTTTTGCTGCATAAGCTTTGAAACTACCATGAGGTGTTTGCACATGCGTTGCAATTGCCCTCTACTAATTGGTAGCTGCAAGCCATCTTCGAGTCGTAGCGTTTCATTTCGACAAATGAGCACAACAGCATACATATGCTGTAGCGAGGTTGTCATTGGCATATTTGGATGCCTGTCCAAATGATCGTACGTTTTCCGGGCGCTCTTGATCTCATCAATTGTAAGGTATGGATGCGGGCTATTGTGCGCGCCGTGGAATCGGACCTGTGGTAAGTGCTATCTACGGAGCTCACTGGTCCATCCTAAAACCGCTGGCGATGCTCTGCATGGTTGTTACGTCAACCACGGAAGCTTTGTCAACTCGTCGGCTTCTTTTCCCCTTCCAAGCAAGGCTATTGTGCTTGCTTAAACAAGCACGCATTACCCTACATCTGGCGTACATCCAACGTCGTCACGCAATTTCTCGTCGAAGATCACGTTTTTGTGACATTCTCGGAGTAGTCTGTAGCTTTATTCGCATGGTCCGAACTGCGTGGATGTTACTAGAGGTCAGCGCATCTTCGCATTTGAATCATCTTCCCGCGTTGTTATGCGACTGCTTGATAGCATCTACTGACGCGTAATTGAGTCTTACTTTTACTTTCTCTTACGGTTATCATTCATCCTTGCCGCACATAGCTGTATTTACCGATTATATCAATCATCTTTGCCGGACACAACTGGTAGTCAGCACAGCACTCGCAGAGTCCGGACCTCATCACTTCTTGATTTCAAACATGTAAAGGTCATTACTTGTCGCAGTCTCGCTACGATACCTTATCAAATATGATTAATGCTACGTAGAGTTGCTGCAAAGCGAGATGATTTTTAACGCATGTAGAATGTAGTACATTATGAACACATAAATGTGAGACATTGGTCAGCATTGCGCTCACTCTGTTTCGATCTTCTTCCATTCAAAGCATCATTATTTTTCACTATCTCCGACCTCTCCATCTTCTCGTGCCTAGCCTATCGACCGAAGCTGATAGGTAAATGGGGAAAATCGATGAAGCGCAACGTTGATAAAACTCGTCTGAAAGATACCTGCTCTCGTCAAGAGTATAACTGCATAAGAGAGAGGCAGTTATACATATAACCTCCATTGGTTGCCGAATGTACCGCAGAGTTTAAGACCGCTCAGTAGCACCGACCCCTTCTCAAATGAGCTCGAAAACGATTGAAATGATAATAGACGTGCGCCTTAATTTTCGTGTCTTCCGCCATATATAGCGACTGGCTAGTGCCCGGTCGCTGAATGCTGTATATCAAAGTCCGTTAACGCCTTCCTCGATGGGAATGTCATCGTGTAAAAACGTTGCTCTATTAGTCGAGTTCATGAACGATTCATAAAACTCTGCATAGGCTATTCCATTACCGAGCCTATACTTGTGCATTTCTTCATCCTCGTCAGAAATTTTTGTAGACTTTTTGTCGACTTTTGACAGACCCAGTGTCTGTAGGGTTGCCCGATGTGCGGAAAAGATATGTCGATGGATGGGTTCCCATCTAAAGCGGTGTACATTTTGGTGACACAAGCCCGATATGGGTACGTGTGGCCTGCGGTGTACCACTTATTAAAAATCAGGTATTACTAAGTACGGGTATCAATTCATTTCAGCTACCTATAAACCATATATTTTGATCTCAACTGTAATAGATAGTACAATCTTACATTGAATTACTTGGACGGGTCCCATCCCTGCGTGGAAATGAAATAGCATCCGTTCACATTTTAATTACGAGAAGACACGTGCCTTCCAAAGCCGTAATAATTGTCAGAGATTACAAGTCTTCTTGAAAACAACCCGCCCTACTTTTTCATCTTCCTGCCTACTTGAATCACGTTTAGCTGGATTATTCTTCCGATCAAGTACTTACTGTCCGACCTGTTAGTGGCGAGTTTGAAGTCCAAAAAGGACTCAAGATGCAGCTCGCTATATTATTCCACTCCATGCGCATCTTGATATCATGCAGTCGTGGCTATTGGTTCGTCGCGTTGCTTATGCAGATCGGAATCGATGTCTGGCCGCTTGCAGCGCGCCACCCAAAGTAGACTACCTCTAAGAGATAGGAAAGGTAGGATACACGGACCCCCAGCGCGCTGTCTTCTTGATGCACTTTGAATCAAATCTCCCCGATCTGGGACCTCGTCGAGTTAGTGCTATTAAGTCCATTCTCGTGCAGCAGCTCACCTATAGATTCCTACTGGACCATTAAGAAGCTGCCGTCTTCGTCAATATCGGCGCGCATCCCATTAACAGGATGACGACGTCGATTGGCTTAAGGGATAGGATTCAAGCTGGGTGAAGACGCGGTCGATAGCAGCTTTGTCGGTTCAGGTGGCCAGTAGGTAGTTTACGTACACTCACCTCGACCACCTGGTCGTCATTAAAAGCTTAGTAGAGGCACATAATTGAGACACAATGGATAAAGACATCGTCAAGAAAATGAGCTCGAAAGAGCTGGATTTGAGTAATTCCTGCCTGATTGAGGATGTAAAACATTTTGAACAGCTCAAGCGCGAAAAACTCCTTGTATTCGGCGCCGAGTGGCTTGGGCGTGTCCTCGCTGACGTTCATCGTCTAGTAAGGTGCAGGAGAAGATCCATGTACGGTTTCTTGTCGTCTTCGATGTAGACCTTGGGAATGTATTTGTGATTCTCTGGCACGTCAAAGATTGTCGCAAGAGCCAAATTAAATTCCAGGTCGACAAATTTCTGACGACCGTATAGGTAAATTTTTAGCTAGCACCAAAGACATGTTTGTTATCGTAACCCGTAATTCTCGGTTTCATACGCTCGATGTTGCCATTATCCTTGAAATTTGTGTTGAAGAATTACTTCTTAGGTCCTGCGTTTCTTTCTGTATATCTCTTGATCAGGTGCCATACGCCACTATTCACGGAAACGTGTTTTACTCTTCATTCTCTTCTTCAATCCCTTTCTTTTGGCGCTGCACATCGATTCCTCATAGTTATTGCGGTTGCGACCGTATATATGCGCTATCACACTTTTGTTTTACACAACTTCTTATTGCGATGGCCCAATCTGACCACCTTGTCCCTGCGTGCAATTAGTCGCAATGCGCGTCTTATGTGCCATACGCATCCAAAACTTCTACTTCTTCAGCTCAAATACCATCCAAGATAACATCTCTTTATTTTGCGTAAAAATTGGAACATCCATTGAACTAGGCACAATTTTTGACCACGGTTAGTACGTCTGACACGGTCGCCTGGCCTTCAAACTAAACTTCGTAACAAGGCTGGATGTATTGCTTCACGCTGAAGGTTCCGATATTTCGTATGTGTTGTGTGATTGCGAAATTACTCTCCTTTAAATGAATACCTTGAAACACTAACCACCATCACTGCGACCAATATGACGCCAACTTGAGCCTTGCGTTTGGAAAATTATGCCGGGGTCTTTGTAATTCAAGCTAATCGATCCAAGGTCGAAGATATTGCGCATGTCGGAATCAGGATTGGTCAGATCTGCCGTCAGCAACGCGCGCCTATATTCGCACCCACTAAGATGCGCTTAAGTATGTATGTAGCATACTCGATACTGTCACTCGAAAATTACTCAAAGACTGTCGAAAAGAATGTCGCGCGCCATGTTCAGTACCTTCATTTACTTACGCTCCACCTAACTCTTCAACGCCTAATCTCTTACCTGGTAGATTTGCCGCGCAACACCTGTCGAGTTATAGACAGGTCAACGTA